GATGGGGGTGATAGGGTCACGGAGCCTGGTGCTGGAGAGGACACGGGATGCAGAGTTCTGGATGATCTGCAGCCTACGGAGGGAGGAGTTGGGGAGGCCGAGAAGCAAGGAGTTTGCATAGTCAAGCCTCGATGTAATGAAAGCATGTATGAGGGTTTCGGTGGCCTGCGGTGTGAGATAGTGTCGGAGCAGGGCGATGTAGCGGAGGTGGGGGAAGGCAAAGGGGGTCATGGCACAGATGTGGGGTAGAAAGGATAGTTGAGGGTCAAACAAGACGCCAAGATTCCGGACTGGCTTAGCAAGGTGGAGTGTGCATCCATGATCCATGGTTGCCACTGTCTCACACCGCAGGTACGTACTGACGTGTACAGGATCACTGTGCAACTCAGGTCGGTTGAAATTACTTCATACTAATGTAGTATTGCGCTGCTAGTTGTTATAGTTCTGAGTGGTAGTTACATTTGATCCCATCATTGTATATCTTAAATTGTTGTGGTTCCTTACATCAAAGGTAGCCTAGGGTTACTAGGGTCTTAATAAAGACCTGTCGTTTTTACCGATTGTATCCTCGAGTCTCTGTAAAATTCTAAGACAAGACAGCGCTATTAAACTTCGCAAGTCCAACAAGGAGTGAGAACAGTCACAATTTGATGTAGCACTTCATCACGTCGTTGAGATATCTCAAAGCGCTTCATTGGATTTTATTATAAAGTGCAATCACTTTGTATTTATGTGGCCAATTTGCCACAGCAACGTCCCACAAAGCAGCCTTGAACTAAATGACCATTTTACAGCCTTGCTCGTGGGTCCTTAAATATTTCCCAATTTCTTAAATCAAATTTCTTACACATAATTGTATTGTGTTGCAATTAACTTTTTCTACAATCACTTTCCTTTCAATTAAAGTTTCGCTCATGAAAGCCCAATATTTTTTCACCCTTCCTTCTCGTTACCCTCAGTAAAATTTCTATTCTAATGAGAATGTGATCACTGCATTCTCGATGATCCTTACTTCTATTGCATCCTTGTGTCGTTAATAAGATTAGATCCAGAATAGCCTCAGACCATATTAGCTCTTCAAAAAACTAAGGTTGGAATCCGGTACCTCAAGAAATATGTATGCCTCATTAATTTTTTCTTTGCTCTTTCCCCAGTCGGAGCTGGATAATTGAAATCCCCCGTGATTAATGTTCTGACCTATTTTCAGGCTTCTCTTATCTGTCTAAACACTTCTCTTCTTCTAGTCCAGGAGGCCCAAAAGAGCAAACAACACATTTACATTCTTGCATGTACACTTCTTGCCCTCGATTCCCATTGTTTTCTTGCTCTGACAGACCAGACAATTCTATCATGTCTTTTTTTTAATGGATGTAGTGTTCTCTCTTGCCTATATTACCATCCTCTCTTCGCTTTGTTTTGCTTGCCCCTTCTGGAGACTCAATGCCCTGGGTTAAAATATCAGCTGTAAATAATGATTACCATTGAGCTTACCCCCTCCAGCATTAGAAAGTTTAAGGTGTCGTTGCTGAGGATATGTATATTTGTAATTATATGTGGTGCTATTAGGTTTACTGCTCACATCATGGGGTATTTATGCAGTTGCAGCTTGCTTATGCATCTGCATCAGTTTCAAGTGCTTTAACGAAAACTCATTACAGTCAAAGAACCGCAGTTATTTTCCACCACGGTATGTTAACCCCTACTCAGAGGGTCCTGATCACAAGTCACTTTTGAAAGCAGATCAGCAGTAGAATGGATAACCTGGGCATTGCCACGTTCATTTCAATAGATATTGGAGGCTCTCCGTTGTCTTTCAAAAGAATCCCAAATCAATAGCAGGTAAGTGAGAAACCTGGGTAAATTCTGAGCGCCCTCTAGAAGTCTGTAAAGGATTTCCAAGCCTGGGTTTCCTCTGTACCACAGGAAAGGAAGATGTCTCAAAGTCTCTCACAATCTGCCACACTGCAAACGGTGCAGAGCTGACTAAATGTAAATGCAGCGGCTAAATCACAATAGGCTTCTATTGGGAATGATTAATAGACTTTCATCTCTGCACAGTGCTAACCGCACAAGCTCTGGAGTAGAAAACTCACAGTGTTGCTGCTTATTCAAGTCACGGTATTGCCCTGATAATTCCACTGACAGGTTAACTCGGAAAAATTGATTCCACCGTAAGCGTATTAAAAACAAGTAACCTCTTTATAATCTTAACCGTTTCTTATTATTCCTTTGAAACGGCTCTGAGACTGAAAATGCTGGCAAAATTCAAACATCCCACAAGGATATTTGTGGCACACAAATCTTTCCTGACTTCTTTTTGCTGGAAAACAAAACCATTTTCTTCCGTGCCCTGTGTTTTTAAAATTGTGATTTATAGTCTAGTCTTTTCACTGGTTTCAAGCCAAAAGGAATTTATTTTTGTTTGACAGCAACAAATCTATGTTTTACAGCTGTCCTTACATCCATTTTAGAAGAGTAAGGTTTCCTCCCTCCCCCTCTAATGTAGCTTTTTGTTTGGTGCTTATCAAATTGAAAGGATATCGGTATCCCAGATATGGTAACATATGTCTATGTTCGTGGATTTGAAAAGGTTATTAATTAAGATAAAGTTCTAACCCAGTTCCCCTTGCTACACATCCATTAGTGTTATATTAGCAAAGGAGTTGGTAAGAGGCATTCGAGCAAATCAAAAGTGATTTTGATTCTCTGAAAACTGCTGAATCCACAATTTGTGACATCCCTTTTCTGTTTTTTGGCCCGGCAACCGATGTGATAATTGCACAAATGACTAGCGCCAGGCTCCTGTTATTTTTTAACTGGATTCTTCCTTTCAGTTTGTTAGTTTGTCAAACAACTAACTGAGGTTATTCTGGACTCGCTCCTCTCTTGGGTCTCCTAATCGTTCCCGATCGAGAGTGCAGGTAGCACTCAGCTCACAGACTTCTGGCGATATAATTCACAGGCCTGAAATCATCATGGGCTTAGCCTAAGCCACCTATTCGCATTATAATAATAATAATAATAATCCTTGCATTTGGTATAGTGATCCCCATTCCCCTCCCTTCTCCCCCCCCCCCAATCCCAGATCAGGTCTGAAATGCTGTATACTGCCCACGCCTTGGGACGTCCTCCTGACGTGAAAGGCGCTATACAAATGTAATCTTATTATTGTTGTTGTTAGCACATCATCAAGGCATCTCAAAGCTCTTCAAAGGATCTTACTGTGAAGCATATTGTTTTTGTATTGTAGGCGAAAGTGGCAGCCAGTTTTCACACAGCAATGTCCACAAACAGCCAAGAAGTGAAATGGCCAATTTTATCTGGGGAATTGTTGACCAGAACACTAACAATTCCCCAGATGTGTCCCTGACTTTTCATATTATTTCGATGCGTACAGTATTTAAATGTTACGCGAAGCTGAAGGGAGTCCATGCTACTCGGAGTCAACTGGTTGTGTTGTTGTGGCATTTCACGACTGTGGAAGCAAAATTATACCAATTGTAACGTGATGGGTTCCTGCATTGATACTCGGAATAGATAATCAGTGTATGTCCACACACCTCCACATTTACAGGGATGTCACAAGGACTCTGTTATTTCATTTTCTGGGTTTAGTCATACATCCAGCAGCTTAATGTTGGATCAGAAAACATATGACTCCGAAACCTTAAAGCTATCCTCAATTCATCAATTTCAACTGCATGAGCTGTGAGGGGCATTGCAATACAGAGAACAAACTGACGTGGAGCTTTCATAGAAGTATACAGCACAGAAGGAGGCCATTCGGCCCATTTTGTCTGTGTTGGCTCTTTGAAAAGAGCTTCCAAATCAATCCTACTCTCTTGCTCTCTCCCCATAGCCCTGCAAACTTGTCCTCCCCAAATAATTTTCTACTTCTCTCTTAAAAGTTGTTATCAAGTCGGCTTCCACCACCCTTTTAGGCAACGCATTCCAGATCTGAACAACTTGCTGTGTGAAAATAAATTCCTCACCTCCCCTCTGTTCCTTTTAACAACTCAAACAACTAACAACTTTGCCTGAGCTGAATCTTCATCATTGCATTGTTGACATTGCAATTATTGGCAGAGACCTCGCTCAGTCATTGAAACCGTTTTGAAACTTAAAATTATTAATTCTGCATCCAAAGTCTAAATCTGTAAAGCACTGATGTTCTTTCATCGTCAGGAAGACATGGATTATCTACGGGTGACTCTCAAAAAATGTAGACTGTATTAAGCAACAACAACAACAAATTATATTTGCATAACGCTTTTCATGTCAAGAGGACGTCCCGAGGTGCTGAGCGAGATCCCGGAATAAAATGCTGCTGAAACATTCAAACGCAGTTGCCTCCTTCATTTTTATTTAAACTGCCAAAACACCAATCGGAACCTTTAGGAATTACAAACCCAGCACTTGCAACCTTTGCCTTTGCTTCTGCGTGTAAATCGCAGCATTTCAAAACATCGCCTGTTAGCATGGAACAGAGAGATGGCAAACCTGTTGCCCTAATGAGGCAATTGGCCTTTGTGTTCAGCCATGTTCGCACGACACCCCATCATCTTACACCTTTCAAGATTTGTAAAAGGTGCGAGGTTACACCAAGTCCAAATGTCAAGCGGCAGAAAGATATTGGACTAACAAGAGAAAATAACAAGCAGCATATTGAATTAACCACCAATGGAGAGGAGGGCAAGCGGTAATAACTCGTAGTGGTCCTGTATCCTGTGGAGCAGGAGGTGAGCATCACCTGTGCCAGTCATGGTGCACTGACTCCTGGGGCAAGCCAGCAAACAGCTTTTCCTCCGAACAATCCCATGGCAACTGGCGTGACGCTTGCAACGCAAGAGATTTTAAATCACTGTGAGATCCAGCTTCACTTGCACCAATGGGCAGCATCTCAGTGAAACGGACTACCTGGTTTCCATGAACTTTCTGCCATCCTCCCACCACCGCGATTCAGTATTTATTAGTATGGCTGACATCAGCTTTATCCTCACCGTATCTGTCAGATCCTCCGCTGGCTGCATTCTCTGGTCCCGAGCCAAGATCTTCCTTTCATTATCTTCAAGAGGTGTGCCTGTGAACCTGCTGTTTCTTCAGTCTCTCCAGGTGATGCTGAGGCAATTAACTTCTTCAAAACAAAAAGAACTGGATAAGTGTCTGCTTCAGGCCAGCTGTGAGGAGTACAGGGAAAGGAGTTGCCCGAGACTTTGCATAAGTAGCAGAGGAACAAGTTTTGATGGGTCAAATAATTATTTACACGATGACAGGAAATACTGAAAATTACATGAACCCCTGTATCGTTTCTATTTCCTGAACTTTCAAAATTCCATCTAGCCTTAGCCTGTAAATCCATTCCTCTTAGAATTTAATATCGCAAAGAATTGTGGAAAATTCAGACCATTATTCTTTATTTCTGCTGTGCGCAATTGGCTGCCACTTTTCGCCCCCGAAATACACATTCAATTCACTTTAAAGTATATTCTGTATTTTAAAGTTTGAGACATCTCAAAGACATGATAAATCTCTACATCAGATTCAAGGATTATTGGTAGTACATTATTATTTTATCTGTTCACAAATAAAACCTCTCTCCTCTACACTCCACTCTTGCTGTTAATTGCGATTGCACCATTGCTAAGAGACATTTTGAGGTCTGTGTATTGCCTGGCGTCTGTTGGAATTGTGAAAGACAAAAGAACATTACCTGCAGGTCATTGACATGTGACGACATCCACAGTGGAGCAGAATTGATTACCACGCAATCCTACAAGTATATCAATAAATAAATAATTGCTGGGAAAATTGCTCTATTTCGTTTGAGTACGGGAAAGTCAGCAATCACAGGTTTCACAGTACTGGCCAGTGTATTGTACAGTAACTGGAGAGCATAACCTTTGACTAGTGACACATCATGGCTTGCATCGAAGTGAACCCACCAAACTATACCCATGTCAAGCAAACACTATGGCACTATGAATAAAGGCGCACGCACTTACCTGATGTGCTGTTTTATGGCACTTTGGTGCTAATGCGAGGTCTCTTGAGTGTTGGCTGCAGTATTGATGTTTGAAGGCAGCTCGTCAATGCATCCAGACATAAATATCACGGTGCAAGCTGCTGCTGGTTATGGAGAATGCCCTTAAAACACCGAGTGTGTGTAAGGGGAAGTGACTTCTCTTTGCAGAAGGCTTGATGCAATTTTCGATATAAATGAGAGATGAAGGAATTTGATTTCATCAAAGCAATGCTTTTTTTCCCCCCCTGCCAGTAGAAAAGAGGTACCCACTGAGTTTATTCAAGGCAATGACTGCACTTAAAACACAAGCAGAATAAACATTAATTTCAGAATTTCTTGAATTATGGTAAGTGCACATTTTTAATTCACTCTTTAAAATAGAATATAAATTACAGCGACCATTTCCTTTATATAAAAGTTCTACAATCCGATGAAAATTCACTTATACAGTTCAAACCACAGCTATCTATGTATATAAATTAGAAAGAGCAACTTTACAACCTGAGGCAGCCCTATAAGTATTCATAGCAATCTCCCGGAATCTAATTTCCCTGTGTAATTATGGAAGAAAACCATAAAGTAGCGCATAATTGTCTCATTTCTAATATTAAATACCAAATTTTTCCGGGCTGTTAAGTGAGCCATAGCATTCCAACAATCACATAAATAATACTTTTTTATTCATTGAGCTACAGGTTATTCAATACCTCTGGGTGAGTCTGGGGGGGGAAAGAGCTGGTCCATTCGTCAAAGTGAAGATGGATTGACACAAAGAATCCTCTTCCCCAATTACAATAAACAACAATGATCCGTGCGTTTGATATCACGCCGTTTCACACTGTCGAAGCATGTCAAAGCGCTTCACGGGATTCTACTGCTAAGTGGATTGACTGTGCATTTGTAGGCAAACACGGCAGCCAATTTGCCCACAGCAAAGTCCTACAAACAGCCGTGGAGCGAATGACTGATTTTACCTACGTCCCAGAAGAGGCCGTTCGTTTTCTGGAAAGAGAGAGCTAATGCGGGAAAAGATTCTGTCAGGAGAAAGCGAAATGAAATACTTTACAAACCTCTTTCTTACCACTTCATTTTGAACAAGATAGAGCATGGCTTTTTGCAGTTCAAATTTTGCCTTTTGTATGCGGACCTGGCGAGACAGAAAATGGATGAGAAGTGCAGGAATAATTTGACAAGTCTTCCCCAAGCACTTTACTGCAACTGCTGCTCCCTTGAAACATGTGGGAACAGCTCTTCAGGTGCAAATGGTGGTAATAAAGTGTCAGTTTAATAAGCTAACATTTTCCCTATTGTATCCTGTGCCAGCATTTCCAATAAATTCATGTTCCTTTGTGAACCCATTACAACATTAATCAGAGTTCTGCACAGACAATGTAATATTAATCAAAGTTCTGTACGGACAATGTGATTTTGCTCACAGTGTCACTTCACTGGCACTCGACAGAGATTAAAAGAAAGATCTCCTTAGGAGTAAGGATAAAGACCAAATAATACACTTTAGATAGTTGCTAATAAGTTTTATTGCCAAGTAAGACAGTTTTAATATAATTCAAGAAATACGTTGCAAGATTTCCTCTACAAACAAACATTATTTTAACACTTATTAGAAACATAACCAGTAATATTCGTACCAAGATTATTGATGACATAAATTATGTATTTTTCTTTTACAAGTTCACCACCAGTTCACTGCAAGACAGTACAGATACTAAAATAATTATGTATATACACTTAATTTATCCCAAACTGTATAGGACGCAAGGTATTCGATCCTCTTCCAAGTAAAATCCTTTGGCATTCTATCACTTGACGAAGGATAAAATAGGTCAAAACATTAGACAATACTGTTGAAAAGAGACCTCTAAAAACTCAGCATAGACACAGCATATAGTCACCATTTACACTGGTGGAAAATTGAATTATTGTAAATTCTTGGACCTAGGGACATATTTTATAGGAGAAATTTCACCTGGGTTTAGATTTACTCTATATGGCAGTTTCAGAGCATGCAGCATTTGGCACACTTCTTGCATACAAGCTTGATTTTCTGTACGTTTCTGTTAAGACTTCAACGTTAAGACTGAATTCAAGAACGTACCAATTTTTTGGCTCTCTGAAATGCTGGGTAAATAGAGTAAAGGTAGACCTAGTTGGCATTTCTCCCCAATAAGTCCTAATATAAAAGTGAATCAGAAAATAATGGTAAGAACTGCACTGTGCTTGCATTTGTTTCTCTAATCTTGTATTCCTATGTCCAGAATAGCAAGTTTTCTTGAACCTGAACGGCAGAAATTCATGTTGAGTCGTTTAGGTGATAGCAGACTTGCACAACAGAGAGGTGGGGAGAAGGATAATCTTGGGCTGAAACAGAAAACATCTTGCAAGAGTGTTTATACCTTGAGTTGTTCAAAATAATAATTTGGAAATAGTCCTAGTCTTTCTGGGGGTGGGGAGAGGGTTCTTTGCCTAGCTCATCTCTGATCCAAGTAAAGCACACAACATGAACATCAGAATAGTAGCTACTGAAGTTCTTTCTCTTAACAGAACGTAGAGAAAGCAAGTGAAGAGTCGTCCATTTGGCCTCCTTTCACGCTGTTTGCTTGGTGTCAACGCATTTGCATTCTGCAATTTATCGTAAACGTTTTTCTTTAAAAATGCTCAGTGCACTAAGAAACTTAAATGACTTGGTTTGATGTTTTTCTTCCCTCTTGAAAATCCATGCATCACCTGTGACCTGCAGCCCGTAAGTACAAATTAAAAATAAAAAAATTCAGATAAATGTTAATGACAATTCAGCGCTGTGCTGATAGCATTAATTTGCAATCCAGCACGCACGTTTGGTTCCAGGGGCAGTGTGCTACAATATGTAGTGCCATTTACAAATGTAGATATTAATCTATCGCAGTTTCCACATTACATGTTATTGTCATCCACGAGTGTGATGTTCCAGATCTAATTCCTTTTCTCCATCTTTGTGTATTTACAGAAGAAAACTTTAAAACAATTCCAGCCCTCTGACCTGGCAGATGGGGAAAGCAGTCAATGTATTACAATCAATGCTACCTGCATATTAATTTCGGGGCCAGTTTACTAAATGGTCAGTTATGACTCAAGAGTTTCTTAACTATTAAGAACTTAATAGTTGCTATCCTTACGCACAGGGGAACATCACAGAAAAAAAAACAAGCACATTTTCCACAAGCGTACACAAAATGTCCATTATACTTCACACGCCTACCCGGATTACTCCAGAGTCCATTACATTGACTGTTATATAAAGTAGGTTGCATGACTAGGTAGTTGGCATCCACATTCGTCTCATAATTTAGCTTAAGGCAGACGTGTGGCGATGTCAGTGACAGTTTAATAACTAACTATTGGGCAACAAAGTGCTAAAATATGTTACGCTGTGAAAACAAGTGGCTCTAATCTGATGCTCGAATGCTTGATGTGCTCCAATTCAACATAAAGTGTTTACTTTTTTTCCACTGAACAAAATTTACTTCTATGTGATTGATTTTGCCATTGTAATCTTTACATTTTAGGGATGATTTGGCCACTTCAATGACACTAATGCATATCTCTGTTGCAAAAGTTTTACTTTTGTGTTGGACTAGGGGCAGTAAGCAGCATTGTCACCAGACTGCGCTGGTCAGCTCGTCTGGTGACTCTGACTGCAGTATGTGACTACATCGAAGTAGAGCACGGCAAACATGTTGGAGTCAATAACAGAGGAAAACTAGGTGCAGAGCAAAATGGTAATTGACCAAACATCTGTATTAGTTCCACAACTTATATAAAAACATAACTCTTTTCTACCTGAACAGGAATGCATTCTTCTTCACGTTACCCATTTTGCCTTCCCCCACCTCTGTAAAATTGCCTGCCACTATCTCTCCCCCCAGGCTGCTGAAAACCTCATCCAAACTTTCATTACATCCAGGATTGACAATGCTAACTCCCTGCTCTCTGGACATCCGAACTCAACAACAACAACAACAAAATTACATTTATAGAGCGCCTTTCACGTCGAGAGGACATCCCAAAGCTCTTCCCTCCACAAACTGCAGATTATTCAGAACTCTGTAGCTTGTGTCCTCTCCAGCACTAAGGTTTGTGAGCTGGTCCCTTCCATCGCTGCCTGGCTTCACTGTCTCCCCATTCCCAAGAGGATTGAGTTCAAGATCCTTGTTCTCGCCTTTAAAGCCCTCCACGGTCTTGCTCCTCCCTACCTCCGAAAACTTCAATCTGTTTGCTCCCTCCAGTGACCTGCTCCACGTTCTCTGTCCTGCCTGCTCCAGTATCAGTGCTGGGGCCTTCAGCCTTTCTGCCCCCACTCTCTGAACTCCATCCCGGAGCCCCTCAGCCTTGGCTTCCATCCTTCTCTGATCCCAACCCACAGCTTGGGTGCAAACCCCTCATTGTCCAGCATTTTGGGACGCCCTCCTGACGTGAAAGGCGCTTTATAAATGGAATCTTGTTGTTGTTGTTGTTGTCCTCCCGACATGAAATGCAATTTGTTGTTCTTGTTACTGACACCAGCTCCTCATTGGCATTGTCTATAGCAGGTTCTGCATCAACTTTAGAGGCAAATCTTAAGGTTACACAGCTCATAGCAGAGCACAAATACCAACCTCTGAATGAGGGAGCATCGCTGCGTGCAAAGACATGTCAGCGGTTTATACTGCGAGCTGAGTCGAGCTGAAAAAGGTATTCAGTATAGATTTAATATAAATATATGTAAGATATCAAATATGAGCTTCTTTCATGGAACAACCCACGACCATCACTTTCCTCTCAGGGAGTTTCATGAGGACATAAACACTAGGGTCATCCGAGGATCCGAATAGCCTAACAGTAGTAAACGGAATATCACATTCAGTCGCAACTTAGTGAGGTGGTTCAACTTAGAAAACATATCCCACATGTCAGAAAGGTTTAAAACAAATCAAAACTGATCCTAAAATCCTAAACTCCCACCCACCCCCCCCAAACCAAAAAAAACCAAAATGTTCTGTAGGGTTTAAGAATATAATTGTGTTGTACGATGTAAAAAGGGATTTATTCTATGCTTAATACAAAATGGGATTCAGAATTTTCTAATGAAGCAAATTATGCAATGTATGATAACAAGTGGGTTTATCTCCACACCCAATTAGTCTATAGATATGAGGGCTTTGCAGAAAGTTGCTTTCATGTCCCTTTTTTTTGTTTTTAAACGAAACAGAAGGAAACCATGAACATTCAGTAAACAAATAGCTGCTGGGAATCCATTGCACTGCAATATAGGAGGTGTAAAAGGTAAATTGTTTTTAATATTGAGTTTAGTCCAATAGCTGGAATTTCAATATATGGTCTCTGTTAATTGAGAGTCAATTTGTGCTATTCGATGCACAAAGCAAAGCAGAAAAGAAATTCCACTTAGGTCAAAGATGCCACAAGAACAAATTCATGATTTTTTTCTTTCCTTTCTAGGGAATAAAATGTATTGAAAAATAGTTTCTCTTCTCTCCTCCTTTCTCGCAGGATCTATGATTCAAGGTTCTACCAGCATTAAAGAGAAGAGATTCATCGAGTCCATTGAAATGATGCCGATGCAGGGGTGAGTCTGTAAGAGTCTGCTTGGTTTTGTTGGCCTAATATGACCACTTGCCCTTCAGTGGAACAATAGAGTGCAACAGTAAAATCGGTGGAGGTTAGTAGAAAGATTGAAAGAAACTCAGCCTATGAAACATGTCCTGGTTATCCAGAGATAGTGGACAACCCACATGACCTACCGCAGTTCTAGTAAGATTAAAGGTAGTTGAGAGATACCATCTTGTTCAAATGTACAAGGTGCAAAGGAAATAACAACACTACAGAAAATATGCTCCACATTGTCTCAACGTTATACCTTTGTGTGCACCTTATCTCAACAGCCTTCAATTTATGAAAACGCAGTCGATTGTGCTACTCCAAAGTGAAATACTGGTTTTCATTTAAAAAAAAGCACACAATTCGTTTCATGTTTTTTTTAAAAACATGAACATAAGTCCATAGTTATTAAACCTTCGGTGTATTGCTCAGTTTTTTTTAAGACTTTACTCCCGAAAAGCCCGTTAGCAGACAATGCGAGTCCATCCCAGGATCGTTCCTCTGTTTCCCATGTTAATGCTTGGAAAAACAGCTTGCTTTTTTTAAAAAAAAACACAACACACACGTTACGGATAATCACACAGTCACTTCCGTTTTGCTGTTGGTGACAAAGTACGGCTGCTGTGGCATGTAATGCTGTGGTTGCGAGCTGTGTGGTTCGGCCAGTGTGCCCACTGTGCAGGGTCTCTTGTTAGCATAGGCCTGCCGGCGAATCGTTGTGTCATTCGTGTCCCAGGATTTGTAGTCCGTTTCGAAGGCCAGCGGATGTGTGTGCATTTTGGTCATTTTGTTTTTCTGCCCGGGCAGTTTGGGGTTGTAGCTGTCTAAGCTGTGAGCTGTGACTTCGTGGGTTACCGGGATCTGCACTGGGTGCAGAGGCAGGGTGCCTTTCGCTGCTAACTCCGCAAAGTGTTGACGCTTGGCGAGGAAGTCGTCGTTTGCCTTTTCAGCTGATAAAGATAAAAACAAGGACACGTCAGCGCTCCGGCACGTGTTTAGCCCTCGGAAACCCCACCGGCTTCGTGGGAGGTGGCTCGAGCTTTTACGGCAATGGAGCGGGAAGCGATTCTGATAAGTGCCGTTAAATACCAGCTACAATCCTGCCACAGTGACGATGCGGGGAGCTGGGAGAGATCATGGCAAGCCTAAAGGAAAAAATGCTTAATGGCCCAGGTCATTCATTGTTGGTCATGGAACATTTGGAACGGAAGTGTTAATGAGTTTTAGCATTTTATTCATCCCCTAATATACACCTCACAAATATAAGGCAATTAGCATAAGTCGCTGGAAGCTCATAAAATTTAGCACGCATTGCTTGGTAAGGTTTCTCTTAATCAAAGGTTCTTTGCTCTGAAGCCCAGAGGATTGGAAGGGTCCATTTAGATATTCGTCTCAGTGTCTTCATTTTCTTTGGCAGCATTATTTTACTGTGAAATCTATCCATTACAAGCATGATTTGGGAAGATTGGCCAGAAAAAGTCGAAGGCCATTATACTGTTAAACCAGTTTTAAGCCTGAGGACATATTATTTATTGATTCTGTCTTCATCAAAGTGATGAATGGTGGTGCTCAGTATCAGAACAGTTTTTCAATGTTATACTTAATGACAGCCTCACACAGCATGGCAAACAGGACCAAAGGCAAAGTAAAGCTCCCAAGAACATTGTGCAACGTCATTCTCAGAACAACTTGCCTATAGCTCTTGCTCGGAGTTTAAGCACTCTGAAATGTTATTCTAGGTAATGCATATTAATGCAAGTTGTTGTCTGTCCCTCCCACCCCCCTCATACCATCAGCCTGAAATTCCACTTACACTTGGCCTGTGAGATCACTTTGTCTTAATTTATTTTTAGATATAAACATCGAGTATCAATCTCCAGTAGTTTTATAGGAACAGCCAGGAGACACTTCTGTCCCATTTTGACTTTTTTTTAAAAAAATTCGCCTTTGTATTTTTTATTAAAAACTGGATCTAAAAATCGAGACAAGGTCAATGTTTCACTTTCGCCGCTCCTCACACTGAGCAAACAGTCACCTTCAGGAAACCAACAGACTTGCCAGTGACCATATCTGGTCCTGATCTCTTCCTCCACTGCGCAGTGCCCATCATGTACTGTACAGGGGAATGAGCGACAGATCATCTAACTGCACTTTGTACTCATAACTATAAGGAACATTTGCAACACATGTTGATCAACAAAAGTAGACCATTCTAGCCTGGGTGGCTGAGATGGATGCCAATTGCCAGGCACTTGTTGTTGGGGGAAGGTGATTGCCTCCTAAGGGCTTGCTGTGAGACAAGCGAGTCAGCAAGATTGCTCTGGACAGCTTCTCATCCCTTTTAATTTGATTCCCCGCTCCACCGAATTTCATCCACATAGACAAGATGTACTGAGGCTGTCATCAGCCTCAATTACACACACAGCCGAGGGCATGTTAGTAGTGTCTCTATAGACTTCATTACAAATGGGAGAACGGGTCCTCTGGCTCAGTGCTGCAGTGGTCTTAAAGGGGAACTGCCTTAATGAAATTGAGTTTGACAAGCTTTTTTTTAAATGTTTGTTTAGGAAGGGAGAAAAGCCAGAAATGTGCATCAATCTCCTCAGCATTAATGTGCGGCAAAATCTTCTTTCAAAATGAATCAGGTCAGTGCTCCCATGGAGACTTGTCCCCCTGGTTCAGTGATGCGGTCATCTTAACAGGGAACAATTTAGGTCACTGGACTCCGTGCACCTTCGCAAAGTGCTAATGTTTTGCTGCGAGCGCCATAGAACCAGAAAATTACAGCACAAAAGGAGAACATTTGACCCTTTAAGCCAATGCTGGCGCTAGTTCCTTCAATGGAGCTGTATACTTTAATCCCAATTCCCTGCTCTTTATTATAGTAAGAATACTTGCATTTGATAGTGTCGTATCACATCTTCGAGATGTCTCAAAGTGTTTCAGTAGTCACAGTATTTTGAAGGTGAAAGCGGCAGCCAATTTGCAAACAGCATCCCATAAAAAGTCATGAAGCGTATGACCAATTTTATGTGGGGGCTCAGGAGTAACTCCCTTCTGTTTTCAAATAGAGTCGTAAGATCTGTAGCGTATCTAACCAAGGTGCTACCAAACTCCACTAATGGGCTAAAGGGAGAGGTTTTAAGTCAAGTTTTGCAACCGGAGAGTGAGGGAGCAAGGCTTGGGGAGTTAAGAATGTGGAGTTCTAGAGAGTAGGCGTAGAATGATTGAAACACTGGGGAGGGAGGGTGGGTGTGAAGCAGGCTGATGTTTGCTGAGCAGAGGGATCAATAGGGACACAGAGATTTGGAATCATCTGTAACTGTGACTGTACAAAACATAAGTGAATAATCAAATGCACCATGTTTATTAATTGGTCGCATATTGAAAGCTGCCCTCTGAGCAACATTTGCTAGAACCAACTTGTTAACCTATTTTTCTTTGAGATCTCTTTCTTCATGGGTCAAACTTTCTATATTTCAACAAATAGATTAAATTGCATGCGTGGGAGTACACAGGGCTGTGCGCTTTTCTCTCTTTCCATCAGTTAATTAGTCTTTAATTGTACACCCCGAGGTTCACTTGTAATATAGGCTGGTTCTATTTCATCTCCTTTGTTGTTTGCAACTCTTTGAACTCCTAAGGAGTGTTGGACGTTATTCAGACGATCTCAGCAGTCCACTAAATTACTATTTTAGCCTCTTCTAAATGAACCGGAACAGAGGAGATGTTCTATAAAAGATCACAATCCTACCTCTTGAGAAAATACTTCCATCCCAATTACTCCATTTTGTATGGTAATTAAGCAGTGTTCGAGCCAGATCATTTTCTATGATCAAAAGCTTGATATGTATCCAGAAACTCTGGCTTGTGGTGCAGGTGATGTTCCCATTTCTCCCATTCCCTGTTCATTCCCGGTACCTCATTCCATTCAGATGAGAGAAATTACAAGATAGGTATGGATAAAGAAGACCCTTTGGCCCAGCTGATCACACTCATCCAGAACACCCACCCTATTGATCTCCCATCACAGCATCAAAGTGGATGGATGTTTAAACATATCTACTTGTGTGGTGTTTTATAGATAAGCTGATAGAGGACGTTGAATACTTCACGATACTCAAAGAACAAAAGTGAAGCAGGAGAGGCACATTGACTCAGTCACTACACTCAAAGGTGCTGTGACTCAGACATCATGTGAATCCAACAATGAGATTCAGACCGACAGCTAATGGGTTATTAAGCATTTCAATCCAAGCTTTACTTGGCTGCTGTACTCAAAGTATTAAATGAGTGGAATAAGCTTACAGTTTTCCTCAAGGTCTAAATTCACCCCCTTTGCCATAATCTCTGGTGATTAATGGGCCATTGCTGGTTTGAAAAAACGTAGATGTTTAATAAATGTCAGAGCATTTCAAGTTCACTGTATCTCGTCCACTCAGTTGGTGAACTGCTTTGCTGTTCATCCTTTGTTTTAATTGCTACTTTTTTGGAAAAAAAACGGATCTCGCACCTCTTTTCCATCTCATTTTCCACACATCATTCAAAAACCGAAAGCGTAGGCATGTTATTTCGGCCCGAGTTTCTACCAGCTCTCATCTGTAAATGGCTCTGCAAGTTGAGTCTGCAAAATGGTCCCACATTTCTTCTACCCCTCTCACTCTACACACTGCCACCTTACAGCTTCCTGACGGGTTCATTTTCTCTTCTCCTGTTTCTATATCTACTCGTGTTACACAAACATCCAATTTGTCACCAGCGCAAACACTCATCCAGATGAAACCAACAACAACCAGATTATGTGCTGTAAATCCTCGTAGAAAAAAATTAAAACTCGTAGCAAAAAAGGACTCTTAACTGTTCAGAGCCTTTCTGTTTGTCAACAACACAAACACAAACATTGAGAAGATCAACTCCTCTGTGCTTGGTACTCTAATCTTTATTTTTTGTCCTTTTCGTTTTGTCCATTGATGATTTGCACTATTTTTTTCCCCCGTTTGTATGGTTACCCTTTATTGATTCCTACTTTTAAGATGTTACATTTGTCTCACAAGCAAGGCTTGTGTTTGTTACAGAAAAGTCAACAAGAGATCCTTCAGGGACTGAGTGTGGAAGCTCTTTAATGAGCAATGTAGCACTGCAAACACTGGGCCTGAAGCAACTTATCCTCATCAGTCAAAGAAATTGGACACTTGGCTGCTAAACGCAGGAATTACGCATTGTTAAAGCTAAAAGTTCAACTATTTTTCAAGTTGATAGGTTCCCTTCAGTGAATGAATCTGGTGCCTTGCAGGAGAACATGTTCTCATTGATACTTAACACATTCAAGGCTAAGTTAGCTGCTCGTGGCATTAAGCAATGCTGCCTTACTTGCATCAGATGGTTTCTTGGCCAGTCCCGGCACTTAGTTGTACTGCCTCACTTGCATTCAGTCATACTGACTGTTAGGCAAGTTTTGCTGAACAAGAAGTGCTACTCCATATGCATATACCATTCACATATGAGGTATATGAGGTGCACAGATAAAGCCTTATCAGTGCGCAATTCTCTCTCACACAAACACACACAAAACACACAGTTTGCAGGGCTATGGGGAGAACGGGGGAATGGGATCGATTTGGGAAGCTCTTTTCAAAGAGCCAGGACAGACACGATGGACCGAATGGCCTTCTTCTGTGCTGTATAATTCTATAATTCTATGACCTTTAAATCTACTTCGCGGTAATTGTAGAGGCCACAAAGAGAGTCTGATTCCTGCAGGGAAGTGGATTTGCTGTATATTTTATGACCTTGTGGTGGCATAATACGTATTGGACATTGGGTTGGCTCCAAATATTAGACTTGAGAGGGTTTCCCGAAGGCCAATTCATGGAAGTTGGTACACTGACTTTCTCCTTTATTAGGCAGCTGGTTTCTGTCGGGAAGAAGATTTCTCCTCAGATCTTCAACCCTCAGACCAGTCATTATTTCCTTTGATGTACTCGGAAACAAATACAGTACTTCTCTTTTTCAGATGAAGAAGGCCCTTCAAACCATTTGATCTCATCCTTCCAGAATATCTGCCCTCCCGTCACAGTATCAAGTTATTTCCTAAACGTGTCAGTCCATCAGCCTGGCCTCAACCATCCTTCCTGTTAACATCACTTTTCAAAGCTGAAGTGCCCAAATGAAGTGTCTTGTTCTAAACCAGGAAATCATCCTCACTGCTCTCCTTTGCAATGCCTCCAGGTTGTTGTCAGCATTTAGCAGCTATCTCTCTCTTATATATAGGTCCATGACTGTGGGAGTCAAATGGAGTCAGTTTTGACGAGTTCTGTTTGCTTTCTATTTTGAGTATTAAGGCTCGGGACTGAAGAATCAGCACCTTGGGAAGTTCTCTCGAAGTGAAACCCTCTATACAAATGTAATATTGTATTGTAAATCCCAGATTAGGTGCCTCATGAATAAAGACAAAACAAATCTCACTCTTCTCTGCCCCCAACCATTCACCTAACCATCAACTAGAAGTGAGAATTTATCACACCAGTGTGGCATTCTTGCCTATTCTCCTGATCTGGGAGTGAGACTGAAATTCATTGGTAGTTTGTGTCTAATTATGGGCAGTTTAGTGCCATAATCTCATACCTACAGGGAACTGAGTTCAGACTACCCAGATTCATTCCACGCAGAGAACAGAGAACTAAGTCTTTTCAGCAGTCTGTGCTGGATTCAAACATCGATTTGAGAAGTGAAAGGATCAAGTGTTAACCCACTGTGCTCACCTTCCGTCCCGGCCTCTGGGAAATAATGCCTGTTATTGCACTACTGTAATTTTGACAAAAAATTAAAAATAATACAAAAGATGTATTTTTGTCATGAACCCAAACCTCTGTGGGAAACTGATCTCCTGAAATGTTGTAAAAACTGCAGGCAATGTACAGTCATCCATCATGAAGAGACCATGGCCAGAATGCCCTGCAGTAATGGGAGGGATTGAGACTGTCCTGCGCTATGATTTGATTAAATACAATGTTAGCACATTAAAAAGGCAACACAAAGATACGTTTCCATGTTTAATAAATCACCAAACTTCTCGTTTGCCTCGATAAAGTCTGAACCATTCAGGGAAAGCTATGATCAGGCTCCATTCTCTTCACTCCACGGTCAAGGGGATCAGGACAGTTTTATTTTGATCAGCGTTGTGTCTAATGCATGTGTAAAACCACCGCCATGTTTAAGTGTATTCAAATCAGACTTGAGAGTTCCAGGCGTGCACTTTGCACACAAAAACTCCCATTTATCCCGCTCGTGCTAAATGCAGTTTAGCACGAGCCAAGGCTTGTGGACCCCCAGGGCATCCATTGAGGTGGGAGTTTGACCATCGAAAAGCACATAGAAAGTAAGGTACACAATGTACAAACCACTCCACATGACTATTGTTCACTTACCCACTGCCTTTAGTGAAGCGTACTTGTTTAGTTCCTTGCCTGGAACTTGCTGTTCCAGGGTAGGGTAAGAATGAGGATGAACCATCTGTGGAATCAAAGGAGAAGTTGGGCCTGCATTGTTCATCTGTGTTTGATCTGTAAATAGTAACAAAACACATATTCATCAGTCTGCACAAGAAGAACACTAATTACACTCCACCCACCAGTGCACAAAAGACAAATAGCCTACTTCATTTTATTGACCAACGGGCAACATAATTATAGTTGAAAATCTGACAACAATACAGCGAAAGCTCATCGGCAATAAATCTCCTTGCATAAAAACCCAACCATGTGATGACTGAGTACTAACAAAGGCAATGGAGAAATGTCTGTCTTAATGCGAACACTGACACCAGAACACATCGCTTAGTGACAACCTGACCCTTACCCCACAGCAATATTTTCACTGTAATTTAAATCCCATTAGCAAGAATTTTATGATACAGTTGAGTCGTAGAGCAGTAGTTTATAAATGTGGCACAGCAATAAAATGCAACACAAACATATTTTCGGTGCAGTATGTTAGCAAGTAACATTTCAGTCACCATTCACGTACAGCACATAGTCACTGTACTTTACAGTAAACCTTATGAAGTTCTTTGCAACATCCTCCCAACATCAAGAGCATGATATCAAATGCAAAGATTAGTTATTATATAATTATTACTATTATTATAAGTGGCATTTGATGGACTTCTTGTGCTCGTTGGGCTGGGAAGAAAACACATTTGCAGTCGACAAGAGAAACATTTGCAAGAGGCATTCCCTACAGATTTACTAATATAATCCTTGCATTTCTCACACCGTTGAGACATCTCAAAGCAGATACATGGACTCCCACTTTAGTGACACAGTGACTGTATTTTGTGGGAAAAACGCGGCAGCCAGTTGCGCACAGCAATGTCATTTATCAGGCAAATCGTAAAAAATGCAAGACCTCAGTACACATTATTGGATTAGCAGCAAAGTAATGCACTGGCCTCAAAATCAATATTCCACCTGTGATCACAGATTACTGACTACAATTTCTTGCATACTGAATAGACTAGGCTGGACCGTCTCTCCCACAGCACCATTTTGTTTTCTGTAACTTGGTATGGAGATGCAGCGACTTCAAACAGCTCCGTGCAATGCATCGAAAATCATGATGATTGGGGTAATTTCAGTTCTACGGTTCAAGTGCAGAATCACTTTGCTACAGAAAATATTCAGCTCTTACGCTTGTCTAAATTCTACCTTTTAACACGAATATGTAATTTTGTGTGTGAGTTTTGAAAACTTGAGGAGGCAGTTGCTATTTGGAAAGGTTAACTGACAGAAAGCATTGTTTTTTTTGGAAATGCTCGTGTCTGCTTGGATCAGTAAACAGAACATAAAACTTATCATCAAAAAAAAATTGATTCCATGACTGCTTGTGGGGAAACTGCCGTGCGCAATTGGCTGCCGCGTTTCGCCCACAAAATCCACCATCGATCCACTTTAGAGTACGTTCAGTGAAGCTCTTTGAGACGTCTCAACAATGTGATAAGTCGTTATATTAAATGCAAGGGCTATTAGCTTTATTATTATTATTATTATTATCCACTTGCTCTAAAATGGGCTGGGCGAAAAGTCGAGTCGTCCAGTTTCTGACAAGCAGTTCTTGAGAAGCGCTTCATTCAGATACAGTGTACCTGTCAATCATTTCCAAGTGTACACTGTCAGTCATTCCATCTGTTGCAAAAAAAAAGCCTAGCAGCGTTGGGAGACCTTGTCCGTTCCAGCACATTCTGCTAACTCAGGTTTATACAACATGAAACTGTGGAAAAGGTGGACGATTTGAACGTGCACTTCTCAGTCTTGTGGCTCAAGGTGTGAGGTGCAAGACACACCTGGAGTTTGTGGGTGTATCCCAGCATTTAAACAAATACAATGAGCAAGTTCATCAAAGAACAAGACAACGGGCTTTGTCGTGAGCTGGTGGCACTTGGTCGAATCCGTGTTCCCGAACACAGTGAAGCTGCTATTCTTTTTGAAAAAAATCAGAAAAAAGAATATTGTGGAAAGGGTGATGATTCACATCCTGAAAACGTTGAGCGATCTAGCGAAGGTTAGTACGCCACCTGCTTGACTTTGTCTGTGAGCTTAGAACGAGAGGGCGTAGGTTTAATTTCATGGGCCTCAAAAGCGAACCTAAAGAACGTTTTGGTCATAGATCAGTACACCAGCAAATTAGTGCAGAACAGACTTGCAAAAGTTGATGGTGTATTGATAAATTCCTTCAAAACGAAACTGGATACGTCAGCATCTTTTTTAGGATGCTGTTGATGACTTGATCATTTTGTAGTTACTGCCCTGCAGTTCTACAGGCAAAGACTGCTCCCACACGCACAAACATTATAGTAAAGCTATAAAACTTTGAGAAAAAATGTCCCCGCTTGCCTTTTTTTCATCCAAGTTCCAGAAAATGTTGAATAATTGGTCAGCAACACCTCCGACCCTATGGCAGCTTAGTCTATTGAGTGGGAGTCAGCATGAGAATGGCAAAGCCATTATGAAGTCGTCGAGCACACTGCAAATTCAACCTATTTTTAACCACATTTACCCCCCTCCACACCCGCGATTTTACCTGCGAGGACGGCTAGACCGTTCAGCCCTCATTTCATTGCAGCACTATAACTCTACTACATAGTACACACAGTATAGCGGTTGTGACCTGTCATTCCTCCCTTCCATATTATAACGCTGGGTTCCTATATTGTCCAACTTGTGGTGCAATGAGGATTTCAGAAAGGCCTGCAGGGCAGGAGAAAGTCAGATACGCATCACGTAGCATGCATAAACAAAAGATTTGGGGGGGCTCAGCTGTGCGGAAACCCATCACCGTTGCTTAAGAGTATTCAAACCAACCTGCGAATTCCATGCACCCCACCTACACGTAGAAATCCCGGAGATTGATGGTAGCAATGGAATGGAATGCACTCTTCTCTCTCTCTCTCTCTGGAGGGACTCATTACCTGCTTACCTAATTCCGGAGAGTATTAGGCGCAGGTTGGCAAGAGCCAAGGTTTGGCGACCCCCAGAATGTGAGTTTGGGGTACTGCTGGAGTTTGACCAGCTAAACCCACATAGCGGTGCCATTGATACAGACATGTTAAAGATCCTTGGAAGAAAACTGGCAGATCGCCCCCAGGAATGTCTTGCGTTAGGAGAAAAAAACTTGGTACCAGCTCCCACTGATGCGATCCATGGAGTTAAAGGACTAACAAAAGGATAGACCGAGATTGCTTCCCATCTCACCACACAGGAAGCTACCACCCGAGATTTATTACATTGAGCAGCTGGTTCCTCTTGACCAGCCTCCTCCCTAAACACAGCTCCCAGCGTTTCCTGAGCTCTGAGCTCTACTACTTCAGTAAAGTGTGCATCAACGTGAAATGATGCAGTTTGCTGGCGTCATGGAAACAACTAGGTGGAACTAGGAAATATTCTCATTAATATTTTATCAGCATGATGCACCTACAATTTTGTGCACTGGTTAGCGTCAAAGGATACCAGGAAGATTGTTCAGGACTGTACTTAATATCCACGGATAAAAGAATAAAGGAGATCCCATTAGCAGCTCTCTGTTTCCGGGCCATGCACTTTATAATATGTTTAAAAAATCAGCCAATTGCGCACAGCTGTGTCCCACAAACAGCCGTGGATTAACATAACGTGTAGGAGCAGGAGTAGGCCATTCGGCCCTTCGCGCCTGCCCCGCCATTCAATCATGGCTATGAAGTGACCAATTTATTATTGCTTTTTTTTCTTGAGGGATTATTATTAGGCATGTGTGTGGAGGAAGGAAACTTGCCCAAGGTTTCGCCCTGTCGGGAATCGAACCCAGGTCTCTCGCTTGAGAGGCGAGTGCTCTAACCACTGAGCTACAGGACTCCACAAAATAATAAAATATTATTTTATATTACCATTTTATTATTATTTTATATTTTATAATATTATTTTATTATTTATTATACTTCTTTCGCCCACAAAATATACAGGCCCACCGATGGTAGAACGGTGGGCACACATAGATAATTCACCAAACATTGATCATTACGAGGAAGCTGCAGTCGGTGGTCTTATTTAATATCAAGGCGTCTTATGGCCCTCGCTCAGAGTATGGCCATAAATTTCCTGTTTCCGTGGAGTAACCATTACAAACATGTCAGCACGCAGACGTTGTTTGAATGTTGGTTAAAAAATCTTCCGCTATCAAACTCTAGGCTCATCACTAAATGCTAAATTTATTCAACCCGTCAACTCAGCGCTGAAGAAACATGCCCAACAACTGTTGTGTGCACAAATCTCTGTCTAATGTATTTGACCTGTTTGAGGGAGAACCTCTAAAGCTTCAATCAACAGCATGTATTTAGATTCCAAGCTCATCGGTTAACACCACAGAACATCCCTACCTGTCTTCCAGCTGGTAGCATTGCTTCCCTCGCTACTCAAATCTAATGCGCTTGCTGTCGAATCATCTTGCAGTTTTTAAGAATCCAGAAGGTGTCATTGCACCACAGTAAGTCACAAAGCATTCTCCAGAGTCCACAGTAAGACAGGTAACAGGTAACTGGAGAAAGAGCCAGCCTCGGATAACAAAACAATAGACTTTCTTGCCTCCTAGGATCAATTGCCTCCAAATACACAGTCACTCCACTTAACAGTATCGTCCTGCAAGGTGTTTCAGAGGTCTCGGCGAGGTGGTGAAGCACTCTAACAAATGCAAACATTACTATGATTACGATTATTTAAACAATTGCCTTTTAAAGCAATTAAAATGATGGGGGAGGGGGAGTTACTTTTTTGGGATGGGCTAACCATATTTGTAAAATGGGATAACAGGTGCCCTTAGTTATGTAATTAGCAACCAATGGCAAGGATTAAAGAATTAACTGTAATCCTTTAATTAATTAGTTGTATAATTAAGAGCATGTGAGATTCCTTCTTTGCACACTTACAGATTGGTTAGCGTATCACATCCCACAAATTGGGCACCATATCTGCTGGAGTGTGGTGCTCCAAGGCAACCGAACCATTCGAAGCTACAATGTGTGCATTTGCTTCAGTTA